GCCATTATACCGGGATGCATTCTTTTCAGGACTGCGGCAAATTATGCGTTGTTGTTTGGGGTGGATGTGATTTCACATCATGCGCCTTGGGTGTTTGTTTGTTACTGTTTGTTGTTGAGCGTGGACAAATGCCACTATGCCTTTCTCCAGGGGGAAAGGGCTCCGCTGTCTTTGTGGCGGACTTGGTCTTGTCCCTAGCAAGAATGAGTTGTGTAGGGTTTAGTTGACGGTGTCCTTTTGCAGCATTTCACTTCTGCCGTTGCAACCCCAAGGGGTTGGCTTTGGAGCCGGCATTGCTTGGGCGCAAGCTGATTTGCATTTGCGACACCCCGATTTGGTGCCTGGAATTTGCAAAAACTGTTGCATAGTACAAGCCGTAAAGCCTCAAATACAACAACCAAAAATGTTGACCCTGCGTCTTCTGTGATTGATGTGTCATCCAATCATCCAAAGAGCAAGTGGTATGTGTATATATTGTTATATATTTACATATACACTGTAGCTAAATTTAAGAGTAATGATACGCATGTTTTCTGTCATGCTCCAACGTGAGGGTGGGAGGGCTACATTTGGAAGGTGTGGGGTCTTGGGTGTGGGGTGTGGGTGTTAGACTGTGGGTGGGTGGGTAATGATGCTTGCAATTGTTGCGCAGACCGCCCGCAACTGGTTTCATAGTTTTGCAGCTCTCGCTCGCCCTGCTGGAATTGTTGTAGCTGTGCTGGCCTGTAGTATGGAAAAGTGGATGCGAGGCAACTGGTTTTGCTTAAGATACGCAATTGCCCCCTGACATCGCACTGGCGGAGCTTCGAAGAAGTGTCGTTTGGGGGGCCTCTGCCAGGTCATTGTCGAACTGCACTGCGCCTGCTGCACTAGCGCAAGATAGCGCAAGGCTTGAGAGAGCGAAAAGCTTGAGAACGTTGAGGTCACTGTAGAAGGCCTTGGAAAATTGAAGGCTTGGGGGACTGTAGCTCTCAGAGTTTGATCGCTGTCTCAACATGAAAACGCATGAGCGATCTTATGGGGCTCAACGCTCAACATATGTTTTACCAAATCTATTCCTTGATTTTGGCCAGGAAAGAAGACGATCAAGGAACGCCTGAAGTACCAAAAGATCATGTCACATGCAAGGAGCAGTGTTCAACTGTTCAGTTAAGTGGGCTTAGCTCTTTGCTTTTCAGGACCAATACACAGAAATAATATGTTATTCCATACTATTCCATACCTTGGAGTTGCTGAGTTTGGAATAAGAGGTGCAAGTTGGAACGCTACAGCCGGGAATGCGCAGTGAGACAGCAAGATTTGATTAGCTTGGGCGTGGGCAAAGACAAGAAAATCACTGGTAAATCCCAGGCTGCCAGATGCAAAGGTGGGTGACCGACCGTGATTGTTTACCTTATTCATTTGCTGCGCTTGATTTCATTCGATTTAATATTTGATACTTCCTTCATGTACTGTAGGTGAATGATGAATGAGCTAATTGTTTCCTAGTGCCGGTGTGCTGTGCGTGTTCAAAGCGCTTCTTTCAGCTAAGCACGCAATCAGCAACAAAGAGGCTTCGACGCTCAGCCACTGTGCTGCTGCAGGGTCGTGGCAAAAGCAAGAAGGACTGACTTGCAACCCAAGCTTCATTCACGATGCACAACTGATTCATTTGAATTGCTGCCTGTCTACTGTAGCTTGTACTTTGCATCGGCTGCCATGGCACAGCGCTGCTGCAACAATGGGTGTTTAATGCAAGCAGCGCCGGTCTGGTATCAAAACATACGCTCTCAGAGATGCAAGAAGAACACCACGTTTGCTAGCAGCCAAAATATAGTATGTTGATATTTTTAATAAGGGCTGGGACACGTGAGAGATGATAAAAGAACCTGCTTTGTTTGCCTTACCAGACGTATAGGGCATTGGAGTCGGCAGTACTGGTTGGACATCAACGCCTCGCAGAACGCGCACTGTTCCCGGCAAAGTAAAGCAAGTCAATGTAACGCGATCACTTTCATTAGCTTCATGGGCGTCATGTCTTGGCAAGGTTGCACGCCGTCTTGAGGTTCCTCTGCCAAACGAAGCGCCGGATGAATGGAGACAGCGAACTAGCTTGCAAACCTCACCAAACTGCTAGACCCTTGTACTTGTTGCTAGGAGATGTCCAACAAAGCTGTTCTCCACAATGTGCAATCTTGCCTGTTCTCTTGCGATCCCTTAAGAGCCTAGCTTCAGGATGCTGTCACTAGTGACGATGATAGGCCTCCTTCTACCTTGATCGAAGAGGCTGTGGCTGCGCAATGTGATTGGTTCTGGACAGCGCTCAAGCAGTCTACAAACACAACACGTGGGGCAACTTTGTTGAAAACTCAGGTACAACGTGTTTGAAGAGAGGATGACGGCCCCTGCCATATGGTGCTTGGCAAAGGTGTTGTCGGGATGAGCGCAACGATTTGTTTGAGCGAGCGAAGGCGCTGTTCAGTGTCTCTAGAAGCTCATTTGATGGGCCTTTATCTATTGGCCCGCGCGTCTTTCAAACCCGACTGCCATAGAGTTTGTCAAGAAGGGATCGCCCACAGCTCGGCTCGAATGGCCGCTGACAGTGCTGGGCTTGCTACGGTACACCCTCTTCCATCATTGTTCCTCAGTTTTGCAAAAGCAAGGAAGCCGACCGAGGAGACTTGTGCAGTGAGGGCTTGCTCTACACTGCTGCTTCGCTATGCGAGATTGAACCTTCATTCTGCTGAGCAGCTGTGTGATGATGCTCCAAATGAGAGGAGGAGGAGAAGGAGGATGAAGATGGTAGCGGTGCAAAACAGAATTACATATGTACAGCTATGGCTAGAGTGGCCAAAAGAGACCAGGAAAGACACGCGCCAAATCACCTGCGCGCCAGACTGTATCAAAGAAAGCAAAGACCGCGTAGAGCGCAGCTGGGGCATCCATGGCAATGCCCGCAACGAGTTCAAGTCATGGTTCACACCAGTGTGCTTCTTCAAGCAAGTCAACCACAACAATTCCAATTGTTCCAAGAACAATGCCTTGGCGAGATTCCAAAGGCTATGCGTAGTGCTACAATGCTCAAACCCACCCTTTTCGTGCTCGCTGCGGATTTTGTTTGCTGTTGCGGTTGCCGCGCTTCAAGTTTCTTTTGTTCTGGTTCCTCATGGCATTTTTCTTCTCTTGAATTCCTTGTTTTGATTTGGCGTCCCTTGTTTGGGTTCTAAGGTCGTATCACTGAGGTCAACCTAGGAACCGAGGGCCATTCAATGTCCATCAGACGCAGCGTTCACGTCAGATCAAGTTCTGTGTGACGACTGAAACCTTCCTAAGTTGAACAGTCGGGGTCGAATTCGAGTATGTAAAGGTAGCATGGTCAGCGAGGTATGCGCAGTATCATCATCAGCGCATCGTAGCTGCCGTCGGACTCAGAGCAAAGCGTTCTGCAACGGTTTGGAGGCAAGTAGGAGGACTGCTGACCGCTCTCACGCAGCGCTGCAAGGCCCAGAGCTTAGTAACTTTCTGGGTATGGGATTCAATGCTACCACACAGGGCTTTTGGTTGTTTTTTTGTTTTGGCGGAAGCCAGTCACCGTATCAGGCAGACGTTGGCCAAGGCCAAGGTTCAAGATATTTGCTTCATTCTAGTAGCGACTGGGAGGCCGACAGCTGACACAAATTCACTGGCAGCATAGCAGGTTTGAGCGAGGGACTGAGGAGATAACAAACCTCGTTTGCAGGTTGCAAGTTACGCGTTGGAATTTGTCACTGTGAATTGTCAGGCTCCTTATGGGAAATTGCGTCGTGTGACTATGTGTAAATTTCGAGGCACAAGGGAACCAGTCCCGATTTGACGCCTAATCCGGAGAGGTGACTTTTCCTGCCGCGGACAAGCGACGGCTGACTCGATGTGGATCGCCAAGTCACAGTCAAAGTGAGCCACAGACAGATGAGAAGTCTGTGAGCTTCGCACCTTTGCTGCGAACCTGGGATCGCTGCCAAAAAGAGGCCAGTAGCTGCTAACAGTTTTCAATGTGAACAGTGCAGTGACTGTAGCGCCTTGCCTGTTGCACCCCCCCTTGCACCCTCCCACCTTGTGCTGCGCACCGTCGCGCCGCGAACTTGTACACTGATCACCCACACCCTACAAATCACACACCCCACTCTGACCACTCTGTTCGGACACCTGCCAACAGAACATTACTCGGGGATCTAGCTAATAAACATTATATATATATACATATATACAAATATTTGTGTATGCATATATATATATAACTTCTAGTCTTGTTCTCCTTGCCCAACCAAGCATTTGGCAACGTGTGCCACTAGGTGCCTATGCCGCAGAGCTTGTCGAGCGAGATGGAAGGGCTGAAGGACCAGCTCAGTCCATTTGGGATCGTTCAGTTTGCAGCGGAGTCTTGTGTTCAGGCTTCCATGGCATCTGCACTATCCAGGCAAATGAACATTTGACACGTCCAAACATTCGATGCGCCGCTTTACCCTCTCCAAGCCAAAATTGCACAAATTGCATCTACGCGCTGAGGTTCAAGATGTGGATTGAGTGACGCGCAAACTGGTTTGTGAGATCTTTGTGAACGCAAGGTAAAAATCCTTTGCGCTGCGTTTTCGCTACTTGCTACCCGTCGTGGCTGATTGATTTCTTGCTTGCATTGCAATCAGTTCGCCGAAGCCACGTTGTTCTCACCACAAGAAATGATGGGCAATATTAAGCAGAGGTCTGGCAATCCAGCGCAGGCAGCTACGGAACGATCAAAGAGGAACAGAAACCATATATAGCTGCTAGAGTTGGTCCTGGACCATGCATCATATTCTGTTGAACCACGCTTGTTCCCACAGCCTGAGTGACCCAGACGCCATACTTGTGTTGACATGTATAGTCAAGACTTTCGTGTCGCCACCTAGGTCCAACAATCTACAAGGAACCACCAGGAACAATGGTGATAGCACGTGGACTCATTCTGAAATAGGACAACCAACATGTCCCACTCAGCAAAAAATCGCGGATAGAACGTCCCCTTTTTGGTGCTTCTTCAGCACTTGCTGAGCTGTTTCTGCAGCGTTCCAAAGCCACCGTGGCCGTGCGAAGTCAAAGTGCTTTGCTCATGGTGCCAGGCGCATAAATCGTCCAAGCGGGGCAGTTGATTTGTCTTCTGTCCTTCATCGCTTGCCCATTTGTTAGGTGGCGGCTGTCCTGGTAGCGGATGTGCTGGAAGCTGTCCAGGTGGCTGTCCAGGTCTTTCATCGCCAACTTCTTCTCCTAGCCGCTTGGTGATTTTGAAGCTGCCAAAATTCTCTGCCCAAATCGATGTGCAAGCCTGGCAATCACCCGCAGGCACAATGTCAGGAATGATGCCTGGTATGATGCCAGGTGCTATGGGGGCGATGCCGATGAACGGTATGGGTGGTATGGGTGGCATGCCAATGGGTGGCATGGCTGGTGGCATGGCTGGTGGAATAGGTAGTGGAATGGGTGGTGGAATGGGTGGTGGAATGGGTGGTGGAATGGGTGGTGGAATGGCTGGTGGAATGGCTGGTGGAATGGCTGGTGGAATGGGAGGTGGAATGGGGCGCGGCATGGGTGGTGGCGGCATGGCTGGCGTGGGCGGTGGAATGGGAAGTGGCATGGGTGGTGGCATGGGGGGTGGCATGGGAGGTGGAATGGGGGGTGGCATGGGGGGTGGTATGGGTGGTATGGGAAATATGGGGGGCATGCCTATGATGGGCATGGGTGCAATGCCCATGATGGGCACCATGAACCCTATGGTCTTGTGCTCAGCCGGAACACACTTGCTGTATTCATGTAATTTTCCTTTGTGCGCTACCCTGCAAGGCCATGATGAATATGGCAGCTATGATGAACATGGCAATGGGGAATGCGGAGGAAGAGGAGGAGAAGGTAGCCCAGCCACCTCCAGAGCAAATAGACCCCAGAGTGAAGGAAATCTGCCGACACTTTGGTATAGACGACAAGATTTGCGAGAAGCTAAACAAGGCCTGTTCTTGAAAGACACTCCATGCTGCTTTGGAATTCAATTTTTCAACTCATTAGTTGGCTCTATGTTGGACTTGTGTAAATCAAACTCATATCTGAATCCTGACCAAATGTTGAGTATTTGTGCAAGTTTGCAAACGACAATCATACCTTGCTGAATTAAAATCACCTATATAATCAAAGTTGGTTCTTGCACGTGCTCCCAGTTCGTGCGTGCTCGGGGATATAACACGCCTTCGGTGTGGGCAGATTTTTCTCCATCGTGGGAAGTGTTTATGTTTGTTTTGAGTGCAGTACTGTACCTGCGTCTCGTGCTCTACAAGTTGCAGGCCAACGTGTGGCTTTAATTTGTCGTTTGGTTACTTTGCAGTTTTTCTATATAAGTTGCGGGCCAGGCAATGAAGACCAGAGAAGACTTTGATGAGGATATGCAAGTCCTATGGCACATCATGGAGAAGGGTGCCAAAAATAACAAGAAATCAGTAGATGTGATGCTCGTGAAGATCCGCGAGATCAACAATGGCACATTTATTGGCACCTTGTTGAAAATCAAAGTGTATATAGAAGGCTTCAATGCAAATCCACGACCAAATTTGAAGGTTTCTGACTAGTTACCAGTTGAAGCCGGTGCGGGGTAGATGCCGTACATTTTTCTACACGTTGTCTAGTTTGTCGTTGCTTATTACTGCACTTTCATGCCGCAAGTCCTGCGGTTGTGACCTGATTATGTTGGAAAGTTTCGATGCCATACAGAGTGTCAATGCGGATGAGTCGACTTGCCAACACTCGATTTCAAACTTTGCATGGTCTTTGCGTGGCCCTTGAAGCTGAAGGCAAAGACCTGCTAGACCCGGAGATCAAAGATTTTGCCTGGAAATACAATTTGGACGATCAGCTTTTACACCGACTAATCAAAACCATGAAGAAGAGAGGGAAGCACAAATCCCAGGACTGCACGGCCCGCGCTGTTTGTGCGTGGCCTCTTTCTTGGCAGGTTGCTAAGTAGTGGGTCATTTGGCTGCACCAGGATTTGAAAGACATGGACGAGCGCATTGGTCTGGGTTTCAGAGTGGATTTACTGACTGAAGGAACGAGCTAGAATGTCAGTTGATGGGAAGCAATGATGGACTCCGGTTTTCGAGGCAATGCCAAGCATCCATCTGGACTACTAGTGCGGATGTTGGAAGGTGGCCATCCAAGACCTTCTACTTACATCCTATTTCAACGAACATGTCAGTCTTTTTGTCGCAAGCTGGCTTGGTTGCATGGTTGAGGCCTGGAGGAGAACGGGAAAATGCCTCCTGCCCCGGGCTGGTGCCAAGTCACAGAGAGCTTTGTTCATGCACCGGAAATAGAAACAGTAAAGGTATGCATATCAAGCAGATTGTAAGCATAGCGTTTCGGTGATATTTGTAAAGCGCCATTCAAACAGGTTGATGCAAAGCCACGCTGGTAGTGCAAGAAGAGAACCTGCTGATGCCAAGGAGCTGATGCGTGCTCAAAGAAACGCGTAGTCTTCTAGAAGGTTCCTTTTCAGAAGTGGTATCTTTCCAAAGGAACTCTGATTGATCCTTATTCCCAACAGCAGACTGCTGCAGTTGGGTTACAATCTCTGGGGGTGGGAGTGGTACACAGTTGGTCCACGGGGCGCCAAAACCAGAATCCCGTCCTGAAACCTTGGGTGCTGTCTGCTGGAACCTTGGGAGCAGTCTGCTGAACCTTGGGTGCTGTTTGCTGAAACCTTGGGTGATGTCTGCTGGAACCTTGGGTGCAGTCTGCTGGAACCTTCCGTGCTGTCTGCTGGAACCTTCGGTGCAGTCTGCTGGGACCTTGGGTGCAGTCTGCTGGAACCTTCGGTGCTGTTTGCTGGAACCTTGGGTGCAGTCTGCTGGAACCTTGGATGCTGTCTGCTGGAACCTGGTGCTGTTTGCTGGAACCTTGGGTGCAGTCTGCTGAGTCTGCTGGAACTTTCGGTGCTGTCTGCTGGAACCTTCGGTGCAGTCTGCTGGAACCTTGGGTCGTTGGGTGCAGTCTGCTGGAACCTTGGGTGCTGTCTGCTGGAACCTTCGGTGCTGTCTGCTGGAACCTT